GAAAGGGGGGGGAAAGTGTGGAAACCCAAAACCTTGTGCTCCTTGTCCCGCACAGAGAGGTGGCTCTTTGTGGAATTCCTTTTTTTTTTTTTTTTTTTTTTGTTAAAAAAAAGCACCTGTTGGAAAACAAAATGAAATAAAATGAAAGAAAATAATAATAAAAAAATAAAATAAAAAAAAATAAAACCAAAACCAACAAAGAAAACCATCCCAAACATCAGGCCACCCATCCTGTCACAAGCTCTGGGGGGGGGGGACTCTTGTAAAATCCAGAGTCTGGAGCTGCAAAAGAGTTTTCAAGTTTGACTTCAGCCCCCAGTACAGTAAACACACACTTCCCCCACCCCCTGGGGACCAGGAAAACCCCACCCAATTCCCCAAAAAAAAATAATAAACCCCCCAAAAGCTACAGGAATCTGCCCTCCTCACGAGGCCCAGGGAGCAGGACTTTGGTGGTTCTCCATAAATATGAGGGGTGGTGGGGACAGTGCAGCAACGCCGGCGAGCCCGATCCAGCCCCGGCTTCCCGGAGCTGGGAGCACCTCGGGGCTGGGATAAGGTAGTTCCGTGTGAATTAGCACCTTTTATCCATTTGGAACTGCAGAGAGAGAGGTTCATGCAGAATTTAGGGAATGGCAGCGCAGGGAAGGACATCCGGAGGGAGGGAGGGAGGAAGGAAAAGCCCGGCTGGAATTACGGGGGGAAGCAGGGAGCCCTCCTGCCTCTGGATTCCTGTTTTCCACACCCTCTGGAGCGCATCCCATCTGCAGGAACCAGAGACTGTCCATCTCTGGGGCCACCTTGATGGAGGGGACAACCAGAGGGGAGGGACTCCTGGCCAGGGGGATGTGGCCACAAGCGCCGGAGTCGCACGGACAGAGCGGCTCCGAGCCCAGGGTTCTTTTGGAAGTGGCTGTTCCTGCCTCTCCCCCCGTCCCCATCTTGCTTTTCCCGGGATTTTGAAGCGCTCACACGTGGCTGCTGGCCATGGAATGTGCCCCTGCAGCGTGGGATGTGCATCTTCCCAAGCCCTCCACCCCTCTGGCATGGGAAGCACCCCGGTGCTCTCCGCCGGGATCACGAGGTGCTTCCCACCAGCTTTGTCCAACCACACCCAACCAGGCACTTCAATCCATCAGCCTTTCCCCAGAGCTCCTCCTCGGGAGGACACCTGAACCCCTGGACTTGCTGGAGCTCTGGGAAAGCCCTTCCAGCTCCACACTTGTTCAGCCTATCCTGGTGGGAAGACCTGAGGTGTCCCAACAGGAGCCTGTGGTCCCACGGCCTGGCTGCTTTGGGATGTGAGGGGGGCACCCTGAACTGGCCTTTCTGATCAGAGGGGACCTTTGCTGCTTGAAAGAGGAGCCCCAAAAGCACCAGAGGAGCCTCAAAGGGATCAGAGGAGCCCCCAAGGACCAGAGGAGCCCTAAAAGCACCAGAGGAGCCCCAAAAGCACCAGAGGAGCCTCAAAAGGACCAAAGGAGTCCCCAAGGACCAGAGGAGCCTCAAAGGGATCAGAGGAGCTCCAAAAGCACCAAAAGAGCCTCAAAGGACCAGAGGAGTCCCCAAGGACCAGAGGAGCCCCAAAAGCACCAGAGGAGTCTCAAAAGGACCAAAGGAGCCCCCAAGGACCAGAGGAGCCCCAAAAGGACCAAAGGAGCCCCCAAAAGACCAGAGGAGTCCTAGGGGCACCAGTGAAGCCCTAAAGGACCAGAGAAGCCCTAAAGGGACCAGAGGAGCCCCAAAAGCACCAAAGGAGCCCTAAAGGGACCAGAGGAGCCCCAAAGGGACCAGAGAACATGGAGAAGACAGCGAGAGACAGAGCACAGCCAGGGCAGGGATGGGATGGTTTCTGCAGCACCATCGTGACAACGCAGAAGCAAAGGAGGAACAAGAGCTGTTGGGAAAGGCACTGACACCAGGCCCTGCCAAAGCTCCCTCCCAAGCTTTCCCCAGGCCCCCCTCACATTTCCCGGGCTGTGGGGTGGGATATGACCATGGAGGCACCCCATGGCACCACCCTGCCAGCTTGGACAGTGTCTTGGTTGCAGGAGCCAGGAGGGAGCTGAGCAGGGGGCGGGGAGTCCCTGCCGGCGAGGGGCTGGAACCTTTGGCGAGGTTTGGAACCCTCGGCAAAGCTCCCGGGAGCTCTCGGTGCGGCTTTGGCTCACGGAGCAGAGCAATCCCAGGTGCTGATCCCAGAAGGACGTTTCCCGGGGGGCCGTTTCCCGGGGTTTCCCGCGGGTTTGTCCCGTGCAGGCGGTGGCAGGAGGGGGGCGGCGCGAGAGGAGGAGCCCGTTTGTCCCCGAGGGGTGGATGGCGAGAGGAGAAGGGCCGTGACTGTCGGGTGGGTGGGTGGATGGATCCCGTGGTGGGGGGTTTCTCTTTTTTAGTAGAGCTGGAGCTGGAGCTTCATCCTCAGTGCCTGGCCCAGCTCCCCCGCCAAGTAGTCGAGGTGGTTCTTGGCCTCGAGTTTCTGCAGTTCCCGCCTGCGGTACAAGGGCACGCTCACGATCTCCAGCAGGTACGTGCCGGGCAGGATTTTCTTGCGGCCCAGGTGGAGGAAGCTGAGCCCTTCCTTCTGGTGGATGCGGAAATAGCCCTCCTCGTTGCCCTGGGAGATGAGGTACCGCACCCGGTTCTCCAGGGGCTCCACGGCCGGCAGGAGCTCCAGGATGTGCTCCTTGCGCGCCAGGTCCGAGAGGTTCAGGGTCATGGACAGCGGGGCCTCCACGTCCATGCTGGCCAAGTTCACGGCGTGGTCCTGCCAAGGAAGGGGGTGTGTCACTCACAGACCCCCCCAGCACCTCGGGGCCGGGTGGAGGAGGGTGTGATTTTAGGGAATTCTGCCCCAAACACCTCAGGGCTGGGTGGAGGAGGGTGTGATTTCGGGGAATTCTGCCCCAAACCAGCTCTGAGAAGGGACAGCGACTTCCATACGTTCAGCCATTGGAATGGGCTGCCCAGGGAAGGGGTGGATTCTCTGTCCCTGGAGGTTTTTAAGCTGAGACTGGATGTGGCATCAGTGCCATGGGCTGGGAACCACAGCGGGGTTGGATCAAAGGTTGGACTGGATGATCTCAGAGGTCCCTTCCAACCCAGCTGATTCTATGATTCCATGGTTCTATGATTCTATGATTCCACGGTCCTTAATTTCCTACAAGTGTTTCTCGGTGCCCTGGTTGTGTCTCTGACACTGAACCAGCCACCACACAGCCCTCAGCTGCAGAGGCAGGACCAAGAACTTCAGAGCCTAAAATGACCTCCCAGTCCAACCTGCCAGGGCTGTAAAATTCTTGGGGGAGCCTTGGACAGAGGTCAGAACTCCCTGTGGAGGAATAACCTGTATTTACAGTGACAGGCCCAGCCTGGAGTCACAGAGTGAGTGCTGAGAGCCCTCAGTGACCCTGTGGGAACTTCTCCCCCATCACCTCCCCTCGCTCAGAAACACAGAGTTGGTTTGGGTTGGGAGGGACCTCAAAGCTCATCTCATTCCACCCCCTTGCCATGGGCAGGGACACCTTCCACTGTCCCAGATTGCTCCAAGCCCCGTCCAACCTGGCCTTGGACATTCCCAGGGATGGGAAACACCTGCTTTATCTCTTGGCTTCACATATCTCCACACATCTGTGGCCAAACCACACAAGTGTGTGTCACCTCAGAGCGTCCCAAACTCCAAAGATCCCCAATTCCCGCAGGACTTGTGGACTCAGGGCCGTCCCCAAACACCCCAGGTGGGTGTGGGGTGAGCTGCTCTGGCTGGACTGAGGCAGGACCCACTATTTCCCAAGTGACCCAGGTCTTGCCTTGCCCCCCAGCCCACCCAGGGTGCCATGGGTGTCCCACCTGGTGCCTCTCGGTGCCGTTGAGGCTGCGGCGCTGGCGGCCCCTCTTGGGGTAGCCGTTGATCTTGCACTCGTAGCAGGTCTCGGGGGAGAGCAGGTTGTCCTCATCCTCTTCCTGGGGGGCAGGCAGGTAGGGACCTTTCCCAAAGCCCAAGCCAGAGATACAGTGTCTGGGGGCAGAAGAGCAGAGAGACCCAGCTCAGAGCCATCATCCGAACAGAAGTGTCACCACTGCCCTTGGAGGTTGTCCCAGAGGACTTGTGCTCCAGTCCCTTCCCCAGCCTCGTTGCTCTCCTCTGGACCTGTTCCAGGACCTCAATGTCCTTCCTGAGCTGAGGGCCCAGAACTGGACACAGCACTCCAGGGGTGGCCTCACCAGCGCTGAGTCCAGGGCAAGAATCACTTCCTTGGACCTGTTGGTCACCCTGTTCCTGAGCCAGGCCAGGATCCATTGGCCTTCTTGGCCCCCTGGGCTCCTGTTCAGCTCCCTGTCCATCCCCACTCCCAGCTCCCTTCCTGCCTGGCTGCTCTCCAGCCCCTCTGTCCCAGCCTGGAGCTGCCGGGGGTTGTTGTGGCCAAAGTGCAGGACCCGGCCCTTGGCCTGGTTGAACCTCATCCCCTTGGAATCAGCCCATGGATCCAACCTCTCCAGGTCCCTCTGCAGAGCCCTCCTGCCTTCCAGCTGCCTCGATTGTTCTGGAACAGTGTCTGGGAAGGTGTAAGTGTCTCCCTTACCCTTGTCCCGCTCGGAAGTAGCCGCCGGGGCAGCCGCACAGGTACCCCCCGTCCGTGTTGGAGCAGCCGTAGCTGCAGGGGCTGCCCCCGGCCGAGCACTCGTCCACGTCCTGGCAGCCCCCGAAGGCCTGGTCGAAGTCAAAGCCCGAGGGACACACGCACTTGAAGCTGCCCAGGGTGTTGTAGCAGGAGGCAGAGCCGCAGGCGGTGGGGCTGGAACACTCGTTCTCGTCTGCGGGGGCGGCACAAAGGGGCACACGCTCAGGGGAGGGCGGGACACGGTGCTCCCACCCCGCCCGGAATTCCCAGCAGGCTCCCGGAGAGCCCAAAAGGCTGCTGAGGGAGCAAGGGGGTTATCCTGGTGCTGGTGGCAGAGCAGCTTCCTGGCATTCCCTGTTCCTGGGAGAAACCGGGGTAGGGCAGGGGGGTCCATCCCTGGGAAACGTCCCGGTCTGTCTCTGGGGCAGGGCAGGAATATCAGTGGGATAATGGGGATGAACCCAAACCCAGCGTCAGAGGGGGCTGAGCGGGGTGGAGAGGGACTGGGGGCTCGGCTGCCCTCCATCCTGCATCCCACAGCTATGGGATACACCCATAGGAATGGGATAGGCCACAGGTATGGGATACATCCCACAGGTACGGGATAAACCCCACAGCTAAGGGATACACCCACAGGTACAGGATACACCCCACAGGTACAGGATATGTCCCACAGGTGTGGGATGCACCCCATAGCTATGGGATACACCCCACAGGTATAGGACACCTCCCACAGGTACAGGACACACCCCACAGGTAGGGGACACACCCCACAGGCACAGGATACACCCCACAGGTACAGGATACATCCCATAGTTAAGGGACACACCCCACAGGCACAGGACACACCCCACAGGTACAGGACACACCCCACAGGCACAGGACACACCCCACAGGCACAGGATACACCCCACAGGTATGGGATACATCCACAGGTACAGGACACACCCCACAGGTACAGGATACATCCCATAGTTAAGGGACACACCCCACAGGCACAGGACACACCCCACAGGTACAGGATACATCCCATAGTTAAGGGACACACCCCACAGGCACAGGACACACCCCACAGGTACAGGATACATCCCATAGTTAAGGGACACACCCCACAGGCACAGGACACACCCCACAGGTACAGGATACATCCCATAGTTAAGGGACACACCCCACAGGCACAGGACACACCCCACAGGTACAGGACACACCCCAAAGGCACAGGACACACCCCACAGGTACAGGACACCTCCCACAGGCCCAGGACCCCAGTCTCACTCACCCACACACTGGTTCCACTGGTAGTGCTGGACGTAGCCCTGGGGGCAGCCACACCTGTACCCCCCCAGCACGTTCTGGCAGCCGTGCTGGCACCGGTGGTTCCCGTCACACTCGTCCACGTCTGCAGCAAAGCGACACGGGGGCAGTGGGACAACGGGACAATGGGACAACAGGACAACTCCCCCCGGGCTGGGGGGTCCTCAGGGACCAGTGGGTGGGACCTCAGGGCCCTCAGGGACCAGCTGGACCTGCCTGGCACCCTGCAGGGTGCTCGTGTGGGGGTGGTTCTGGTGCCCAGTTATGTCCCTGCAGTTGGCAGTGAGGGGCACCCTCAGCCCCAAGGCCCACAGACACCCCTGGGATGGGTTTGGAGTTAAGGTCAGGCCTGGACTCTGCTTCAGGCTGAGCACTGGCACTCCTCAGCAGGTCCCATGGCCAGCTTGAGATCTCTCCTGGTGGGACACAGGACCATTCCTGTCCCAGCTTGGCTGTGGCTGCAGCACTGAGACCTTCATTTCTTTTTCCAAGGGCCGGTGTTTCCCCAGGCAGGTCAGGCACCGACCTCTCCTTCGCACCAGAGCTTCCCATGGGGGCTTCTGGTGCCCCACAGACCCTTCTCATAGAACCATGGAATATCCTGAGCTGGAAGGGACCCACAGGGATCATCCAGTCCAACCCTTAGCCCTGCACAGGACACCCCAACAATCCCACCCTGTGCCTGAGAGCGTTGTCCCAACCGAGCTCCTCGGAGACTGTGATGCACCAGGAACTCTTCCCCAGGGGAACACAACTCTGCCAAAGCCCTGGAGACCCAGACCCACCTTCACAGTTGACCCCAGAGCTGTCCAGGGAGAATCCTTTCTGGCACTCGCAGTTGTAGCTGCCCGGGGTGTTCAGACACTGCCCTTTGGCTCCACACAGCGAGGGCTGAGCCGTGCACTCGTTGTTGTCTGCAAAACACCCGCGGGTTTAGGGGCTGGAAAGACTCTCCTGGGCTTAAAACTGACCCCTGGCAATGTCCTGGTGGCAATGTCCTGGTGGTGCCCAGGGGAGCAGGGAATGGCTCTACTCACCGATGCAGGACGAGTGGTGCTGAGTGAAGCCAGGGGGGCACTTGCAGTTGAAGCCCCCGATGATGTTGACACAGAGGAACTGGCAGTTGTGCTGCTTGGTGGAACACTCGTCCAGGTCTAAAGCAACAAGGAAAAGTGTCTCATTTTATCCCCCTGAGGTGTCTTATCCACATGGTCTCAGCCTGTGCCACCTGTGGATACACCTGGGCACACCGGGACTGGCCTCAGGAACAACACCCAGAGTTCTTCCACGAGAAGAACGAGCCTCTCCCCACCTCAGTGTTATACATGGGCACATCTGGAAGGTGCAGAGACTTCTCCCTGCCTCTCCTGGGATTCACAAATCCCAGAGTCTCCCAGATTCTCAGCCCAGCCTCCTCACAAACTGAGACTGGGAGAGGTGGGCACAGCCCCAGCCTGGCAGCTGCTGGTGGCACTGACATGCAGGAGACACCCAGGTTGAAGGTCCCTGGAGCTCAGCACAGCTTGGGGTAGGCTCTGAGGTCTGTAGGAAAGGGCAAGGAGGATTTTTTTCCCAGATGAGACAAGTCCAGACTGTGGGAGGATGAAACCCTCACCCACCAGTCCACAAGGGTGGCACCTTTCTCCACGTCTATCCTCGTGCTGTGGCTGAACAGAAGGACCTGAACTGCTCTGCCACGTCCCCCCAGGTGCCAGGGGTGAGGCAGGGCCTCTCCTCCTCCTCCTCCTGGCTGGATACCTTTGCAGATCTTGCCATCCTCCTGCAGGATGTACCCCCGGGGGCAGGAGCACTGGTAGCTGCCTTCTGTGTTCTTGCAGATGAAGTTGCAGGGCTTGGGGGACTGGTTACACTCGTCCAGATCTACCCTCGAGAGACAAGACAGGTCAGCACCCCCAGGGACAGGACACCCTCCACCCCTTGGACAGCTCAGCCTGCCCAGGAGCTCCTGAACACGAGGTGATCCGGGGTTTTGTGGCACAGAACTCAGTGGTCAGATATCCCTATGGATTCTGGCATTCCCAGGTAAATGCCCTGTTTTCACCCTGCAGGAAGACACGGATTTTGAGGGAGCATCTCAGTTTGAGGCAGCACAGTAAATGTGATCTGTGATTCCAGGGGTGCTTTTTATATCAACACCTGCATTCCCAACTATGATTCTAAGCTTCACTGAGCAGGGCTAGAACAATGGAAAGGTAAAAGGGTCAGGCTGATGAAGCTGATAGAAGACCCCCAACTCACAGGATGAAGAGTGGAACCCCCACCCAAATTGAAGGCCAAGAGAAGCACCACCCTAAGCTCTGCCTGAGCTCTGCCTACACTCCACCTGTTATTAATTTGTATAGATAGATGTCGTAATCATATGAATATGCACTTAATCATCTATGAAAATTGCATAAACCCCCCTGATTTTGTGTGAAACCTTTGAGCGAGTTCTCCGTGGTGCGAACCACGCTCGCTCCCGACGTCGGCCATAAACACCTTCGCTGCTCAAAAGATGCAAGAGTCTCTGAGCAGTTCCTTAAACCGGATTTTTTTGGATTCACAAGGGCTGTCCAGAGGCACGGGATCCCTCTTCCCCACTCACCCACGCAGGCCATGCCCGTGATGTCGGCGGTGTAGCCCAGCCGGCAGTGGCAGCGGAAGGAGCCGATGCTGTTGATGCACTGCCCGTTCCTGCACAGGTTGGGCAGGACCTTGCACTCATCGATGTCTGGGGGAGGGAGAGAGGGAAGGACCTGTCAGTGCCAAGGCTGCCTCTGTGCCCGCTGCCAGCCCCGTGCCAGGGCAGCTCTGAGCCTCCCAGAGCTAAGAACCTGCCCAGAGAACCTCGCAGAGGCTTTGTGTCTGCTCCGGGCTCTGCCCCAGCCTGCACCCACGTCCTCTGCACTGAAAGATGTGGCCCCAGCTCACCTCTGCCATCAGTGGAGTATCCTGGGCCATGGGGACACATCTTCTTGTACTGGGCAGTGCCAGGGAGGGGGCAGAGCTCGCACTGGGGGCCCCAACTGCGCCCGCTGTTGCAGCAGCACTCGGATTTGGTGACCAGGTTGCGGTTGGTGGAGGACATCTGGCACATGGTTTGCAGCACCTCGGTGAAGCAGAACCCTTGGCGGGTGTCTGGGTGGAGGAAAGGGGGATATGAGTCCAGGATCTGAGCCAGTGTCAGCCCCAGGGATGAGGGAGCAGCCTGTGCCAGCGCCAGCATGAAGGGGGTGTGGTTCGGATAAAGGTGAAGGTGATGCCCCCCAAACCTTCTGCTCAGGATCAAAGAGTCACAGAATGGTTTGGGTTGGAAGGAGCTGGAAGATCATGGAGTTCCAACTCTGGTTTGGGTTGGATGGCACCTTGAAGGTCATGGAGTTCCAGCCCTGGTTTGGGTTGGATGGCACCTTGAAGGTCATGCAGTTCTACACCCTGCCATGGGCAACCTTCCACTGTCCCAGGTTGCTCCAAGCCCTGTCCAACCCAGCCCTGGACACTTCCAGGGATGGAGCAGCCACAGCTTCTCTGGGCAACCTGTGCCAGGGCTTCCCATCCTCCCAGGGAAGAATTCCTTCCCAATGTACCCCCTAACCCTGCCCAGGGAGGAATTCCTTCCCAATATCCCATCCAACCCTGCCCTTTGTCGGCATGAAACCATTTCCCCTTGTCATGTCTCTCTGTACCCACATCACAAGTCCTTCTACAGCTCTCTTAGACCCCCTGAAGCCCCCGGGAAGCCCCACGTGCTGCTCCAGGCCCGGCAGGATTTGGGAATTACCGATGCACTCGGTGCCAGAGGGACTGACTTCGAAGCCCTCGTTGCAGTCGCAGCGGTAACTCCCCGCTGTGTTCACACAGCGCCCGTTGGGGCAGATCCCAGGCTTGGTCCGACACTCGTTCTCATCTGGGAGGGAGGGAAGGAAGGAGGGAAAGAGGGAGGAAAAGAGAGAAAGACAGAAAGAAAGATAGAGAGAGAAAGAAAGAAGGAAGGAAGGAAGGAAAGAGGGAGAGAAAGAAAGAAAGAGGGAAAGAAAGAAGGAAAGAAGGAAAGGAGGAAAGAAGGAAAGGAGGGAGGCAGGGAGGGAAGGAAAGAGGGAGGGAGAAAGGGAGAAAGGAAGGAGGGCAGAAAGAAAGCGAGAAAGAGAGAAAGAAGAAAGGAAGGAAAGAGAAAGAGAAAGAAAGAAGGAAAGAAGGAAGGAAGGAAGGAAAGGAGGGAGGGAGAAAGAGGGAAAGGGAGAAAGGAAGGAAGGGAGAAAGAAAGCGAGAAAGGGAGAAAGAAAGGAAGAGAGAGAGAAGGAAGGAAGGAAGGAAAGAAGGAAAGAAAGAAGGAAAGAAAGAAGGAAAGAAAGGAAGAAAGGAAGAGAGAGAAAGAAGGAAGGAAGGAAAGAAGGAAAGAAAGAAAGAAATGAAGAAAAGAAAGAAAAGAAAGAAAAAACCACAAAGAGCTCTGGTGAGGCAAAGAACCAATTCCATGAACTTTCCATGAGCCCCTGTGCTACCACTCAGTTTGGAATGTCCTCCCAGAGCCCCCGAGGACCATTTCCACATCAGCTGGGAAGCGCATCCACCTGCCCTGGACCTCTCCCAAAGCAAGGGTGGCCGAAATTCAGCTTCCCTGGCCTGCACATCCTCCACCTGCCCTGGCCAAGCTGCTGGGCCAGCCCTGGAGCTGGGCTGGCTCCGTGTCCCTGCTGTGCCCGAGGCTGAGCAGGGCTGGGCTGCCCAGTGCCCCTTCCCAAAGCACATCAGTGCAAAGCAGCTCAGGACAGACACGGAATGACCCAAAGGAAAGGTCCCCCCGTGCTGGACTCTGATTCGCATGGGCCAGAGGTGAACAGAGGGTTGTGCGTGAAGGCGCGAGCGGGACACCCCAGGGAGGAGGAACATAAACTTCCAAGGGCAATGCCTGGCAGGGAACCATCCCCACGCCCTTGGGAGTCCCTGGCAGCCTGCCCTGGTACCTGTGCAGCCCTCTCCATCGGGCCTGCGCTGCATCCCTGGCGGGCAGATGCACATGAAGGTGCCGATGAGGTTCTTGCACAGCATCCCCCGGGACTCGCAGTCGTGCAGCCCCTCCGCACACTCGTCCAGATCTGCAAGAGAGACCCCTTCAGAGCTGCCCCTGGGTGATAGTTCTAGTCTAGGCCTGCCTTGGTGACCAGTTTGTAACCAAGGAAGTGGTCATGTTCCCAGTATTCCATATGATTTTTACATAAGCCAGGGTACTGTTCGTGTGAGGCCTAGTGAGGCCTTGTAGGCCTTGGGAGCCAGAGGGTGCCAGCGGTGCTTGGCACGATTCTGCTATCTCAAGGAGAGTAATAAGATTTTCTTTTCCTAGTTCCTTATTGATTGTTACTGTGCATACCTGCTTCGGGGTTTTTTGGTGGTTTTGTCCCGCATCCCTTTTCCCTTCCCCTCTGGGGGGGTTGTTTGGGGTTCTCTTTTCATATGTACACAGTATTGTAACTGTATATAAACTGTGATGTATGTAAATATATATATTTTGTTATAGCTCGGTTGGTTTCGGGTCTTTCAGTTTCTGTAGTTTTTTTTTTTCCCTTTTTCCAGAGGGGAGGGGGGAGGTTTTCGCTGTAGCCCAGGGGACTTGGTGGGAAGCCAACTCCAAATAGCTACACCCTGCCAGCCCTGGGGGGCACCAGGAGCACCCACTGCTCCATCAATCCCCGTGGCCTTAGCCCAGGCTGGCTGGGGCACAGTTAAAAAAAAAAAAAAATCATAGAATCATAACACGGTTTGGGTTGGAAGGGACTTTGAGGCTCATCCAGTGCCATCCCCTGCCATGGGCAGGGACACCTCCCACTAGCCCAGGTTGCTCCACGCTGGCCTTGGACATTTCCAGGGATGGGGCAGGCACTGTGCCAGGGCCTCATTGCCCTGTGAGCAAAGAATTTCCTTCTGGCAGCAAAACTAGGAGGGGTGAGAGTGGGCACAGGCCCAGTGATGCCAGGGCAGGAGTGCTGCCTTCCCTGCACACACGTGGCTGGGAGCAGGAGCTGGGGAGGGTTTGGGAGCTTCCTGATGGAGGCAGGAGGGGCTGTTACCTCTGCACATCCTCCTGTCCTCTCGCAGGGCGTATCCAGAGGGGCAGGTGCACTCGTAGGAGCCGAAGGTGTTGATGCAGCGGAAGGCGCAGAGCAGGGGGTTCAGGGAGCACTCGTTGATGTCTGTGGGGAGGAGAGAGGAGAGAACCTGCCTTGGTGCTGTTAGGGACAGGGCTGGGCCTCCCCAGGGCAGAGCCACCCCCCTGGGCATCCAGCTCTTGAGAACTTTGTTCCACCAAGGTTTCCTGCCATGGTTGTAGAGGGACAGACACCAGGACTCTCAGCAGAGGGACAGACAGCCAATGTTTTAGCAGAGGGACAAGACAGTGTTTTGGCAGAAGGACAGACACCAGGACTGTCAGCAGAGGGACAGACAGCCGGTGTCTCAGCAGCTCGGATGGGTCCTGGCTCCCTGAGGAGGCAGCTCCTGGATTTTGGCAGGTCTCCAGGCTCCTCCTGGGCTGCAGCCTCAGAGGAAGCTGAAGGAGCCCAGTGTCGAAGGAGCTGAGCCCCAGCCGAGCCTTCCCACACCACCCCTTGGAGCTGGCCCGGGCGTTGATCCAGCGGGGTCCCCCCCAGCCCGGTGGCACCAGGAGTGAGGGGACAGATGAGGGGACAGTCCCCCAGCAGTGTCACCTTCACAGGTCATCATGGGCCCCGGCTCAAAGCCCTCGTCGCAGGCGCACTCGAAGCCTCCCACCACGTTGGTGCAGGTGCCGTTCCCGCAGGGATTGCCGATGGAGCACTCGTCGGTGTCTGGGGACACGGGACACGTCGGGGGGTCAGTGGGGTGGGAAGGGTTGGGGCTGGGTGGTACTTGTAACCTCAAACCCCCCAGCAAAGGCAGGAGCTGGGACAGCAGAGGGGCAGGGGAGGAGCGAGGTCCCTCCGTCCACCTCGAACACAGGGGGCGAGGAAGGAGGGAACAGAGAGCCCACCCCAACCTCACAGACCCACCCACCACACAGACCCTCATCCACAGAGACCCCCACCCACCACACAGACCCTCACAGACCTCCACCCATCACACAGACCCTCATCCACAGAGACCCTCACCCACTCAGACCCTCACCCACACAGACCTTACCCTCACAGACCCTCACCCACAGAGATCCTCACCCACGCAGACTCTCTCTCATGCAGACCCCCACCCACCACGCAGACCCTCACAGATCCCCACCCACCACTCAGACCCTCACCCATCACAGACCCTTACCCATCACAGACCCTCACCCACCTCACAGACCCTCACTCACCACACAGACCCTCACCCACCACACAGACCCTCACCCATCACATACCCTTACCCATCACAGACCCTCACCCACCTCACAGACCCTCACCCACCACACAGACCCTCACCCATCACATACCCTCACCCATCACATACCCTCACCCATCACATACCCTCACCCGTCACACAGACCCTCACCCATCACATACCCTTACCCACACAGACCCTCACCCACCAAGCAGACCCTCACCCACCACAAAGACCCTCACAGACCTCCACCCACCACACAGACCCTCACCCACAGAGATCCTCACCCATCACACAGACCCTCACAGACCCCCACCCACTACCCAGACCCCCATCCACCAGTCAGACCCCACTCACAGAGACCCACACAGACCCTCACCCACCACACAGACCCTCACAGATCCCCACCCATCACACAGACCCCCACCCACATAGACCCCCACCCACCACACAGACCCTCATCCACAGAACCCTCACCCACCACAAAGACCCTCACAGACCTCCACCCACCACACACACCTCACCCACCACAGACCCTCACAGACCCCCACCCACCACACAGACCCTCTCCCAGGCAGCCCCGACCCCCGCAGCCCCGGGCAGACCCTCACCCACGCAGTTGACCCCCGTGTAGTCCAGGTTGTATCCGAAGGGGCACTCGCAGCGGAAGGAGCCGTCGGTGTTGATGCAGGCCCCGTTGATGCAGACCCCCAGGTTCTCCGAGCACTCATTGACATCTGCCAGGGAAAACACAGGGGTGAAACCTCCCACAGCCACAAACAGCCCCCTCAGGACTGACACGAGACACCCAGGTGATCCCTGGAGCTTCAGATTCTCCCTCTCCAGAGCCGGGGGCCGAACCTTTGGTGAGCAGTTGAGCTTGGGAGAGCCCCCAGTCCCATTCCTTCTACTCCTTCCCTGCCTCTGGGATCCAACCCTGCCCTCCAGGAGCCCAAGTCTGGTTGTTTTTAGGCAGCAACACCCCCCCCAACCCCAAATTTCTTGTCATCCCTAGAGCCAAGCTCACCTTCTCGGGTGTCACCTGGGCCCGGGATGGCTCCGTGGCCGTACGGACACAGCTCCTGGAAGGCAACTGGGAGGAAGCAGGAAAGTGAGATCTGCTCACAAGGGATTCCACTCTTGCTTCTAGAGCACAATGGGAGCTTGAGAACCCCCAAAACCCCGTCTGGCTGGAAAAAAATCTGTGCCTGCCTTGAAAACATGGAATTGTGAAGGTTGGAAAGCCCTCTAATATCATGGAGTCCAGCCATTAACCCAACACCACCGTGTTCACCACCAATCCACGTCTCCAGGTGCCACATCCACACGTTCTTTGAACAGTCCCAGGGATGGGGACTCCAGCACTGCCCTGGGCAGCCTCTCCCAGTGCTTGACCACCCTTTCAGCGAAGAAACTTTTCCTAATGTTCAACCTAAACCTCCCCTGGCACAACTTGAGGCTGTTTCTTCTTGTCCTGTTGCTTGTTATCT